TCTCTTCACATCACTGATTATTTGTATAACCCTATTGTGTAATTTGAAGATACTTTTTGAGTTACTACTCCAGAAAATTAAATAATCTTCAAATAAACATAACTTGTAGGTTCGTTACATTCTTAAGAGATTTAATTACGTAACAAAATTTACTGGGTTTTGAGCTTAGTAACCTTACATGTGCAGCCCATTCCATATATTCACTAATGTGTGTGCTTAAGAATGTTGTTTATGATTTGTAGGCAATAGTGCCAAATTTGGCTTGAGGTTTCACTGAATCTCTTTCATGCCTAGTACAGAATGACACTGCTGTTTCCCAATTTGTACAAAACCAAAAGTGCAAACCATTTGTATCCCTATTTATTTTCTGCTGGAGCATCTGTCCATTTTCCGCACTTACTAAAATGTTTGTCTCTTTGATATTTATTGACATAGTGTATGTGCAATAGAAATATTATCTGCCCTAGAATCGAACCCTGTGGCACAGTGTGTTTAATGTCGCTTAATGCTGGACCATTTCTCCTTCATGTGTGCATTTATTGCCATTATAGTTCATTTCAATAACTTGCTTTCAATGTGCGATATATGATTCAAACTACAGGTTCATAGTGCCTCAAAAGCCATATGAATTTAAATTGGCAAGTAAAATATCGTGGATTATAACATCACGTGCTTCAGTCAAATCACAAAAAAAAAAGTATTTTCCCCACAGTAGATTGTTTGTGTGCTTTCAATTGACTTATTTTTCGTGAATGCATTTTAGGCTTCTATAAATATTTTTTTGTGCAGCCAGGAAGGCCAGGAACTTAACTTATCGTACGTCAGCTTTTCTAAAACCAACAGAAGACGAAAATGTTATATCGATTGTAACTTTGGTGTCTCGCGTCTGGTTGCCAACACGATGACATTTACGTCATCTGCCATTACCTTGCTGACGTTGCTGACCGTGGACTTACCTCCCGTTCGCTCTGGGCCCTCTGGGCACAGGCGGCACAGGCTGTGGATGCTCTCGTGCTCTCGTGGCTCTCGTGCGCTCTGGTACTCTTTGGTGGATGTCATCAACGGTCATCAATAGGTAGGGTGTTTGTGAAAGTCATGGATGGTCGTGGGCTTGCTAAGAAAAATGAGAAATCTAGATTCGAATATTGCGGACATTTAGCCGTTAAGTAGAAGTAGAAGTCATAATACCAAACTTTGTATGGCCACGTGTATATTTATATATTGGAAATACTGAGATTGTGTATTTATGTGTTGTAGTTAGAGGACTTAGAGGTTATGATTATATAATGGATGGTCTTAGTTCGAACTTGAGGCGACGACCGTTGCAAGTGGCAGTGGCAGGATTGTTAAATGAACTCGGTTTCGATTGTGCCGAAAAAATGGCCTGCGAGACTTTAATTGAAATGGCCCAAAGCAGTAAGTTTATTTCTTCACCTTTTTGTTACATGACGTTAAAGCCTGTGCGCATAACTATTACACGAAGGTGTTTGGGGGGAGTGAAGGTATGACCAACATTGTTTACCTCAACACTAGCTGGAGGTGAGTATTCAGTTTCACGCAGTGGCTGCTGTTTACCTACGAAAAAGAGACCCCAGTATGTATTGTGTGGGCTGCAGAGCTAATCCAGATGCTGTGGAGAAGATAGGCGTTGCTGGTCTCTGCCGGGAATCGAACGCAAAGTACTGCCTGCTGAGCCTCAGACTTAGTCTGTGTTCCTATTATTTTCCACTTTGTTGTTACTTGATATGTATATGTAACGATTATAACAGTTTGCCCTGTTAGACAGATTACCATCACATGTTTGTCATGTAAGAGTAGGTTTTCTAGATAGATATAAAATTGCGACCATCAGACATTGACCCAACAAGTTACTGAAGTTTATGTCACATATATTAAATCTTTTAATCCTACAGAGTAAGTAAATAAATAAAGGTATCCCTGTAACAGGCCATGTAGACCCATAGGGTTATGAGATGTCAAGGGTCCTACATTATCTAGACAATCGGCTCAAAGATGGCTGTAAGGTTGTCAGCCTTATGCTCTGGCCGCGCTTTACTCCCCAGGAAAATAATTTAAGTAATTCCTGGTACTCATTTCTGTTAAGAGGCTGAGTCAACCCCGGGGACATAGTGCAGCACAAAGTAAAAATGAACGTGGCGTCACATGTGAAAATTGATAGAATGTCACTGTATTTCATGTAAGATACATTAATGCCAAGGTGACAGTTACTTGGATACCATTGGTTTTTTTCTAAAAATTGTATATGTACAAATCACTATGTTTTATAACCAATAATATATAAACTGTAATTGTACTTGTTTGTATGGGCACCACTAATGTATTAAAATGGAGGGTCTTTTTATGGTTGGGAAATATGTAAGCCCTACAAAACGATAAAAATCAAATTATGGGGTTTTTAAGTAACCGACAGTATGCAATTTCTGTAAGTGCGGATGATATGGAATCAGTGTGTTTTGTATTTGTGATGCTCAAATTCAGGGAAAAACAGGAAGTCATGTGCAGAGTACTGTGATAGCAAGGCTGAAGAGTGGGATGAAAGAGAAAACTGCTGTATCTTGAGTCACATGAACCATAATGACAAACAAACCAAGTCTAAAGTGATAATCATTAGTCCACCACTGCTTCAGTCTTATGTTTCACTACCTTTTCTGGTCTGAGTGACAGATGCAACCAGTTGATGCAGTTTCAGAACATCTTTCCATAGACAGTGCTTCATGTCTGATCTGGTATATGGTGAAATCAGTTAGGGGAATTAGCTGATTCTGTTTAATATATGCTTAAAATTCTGCACATCCAGGTTGCTGAGCTAGTGCACCAGTATTTATGTCATGATATATCAGATAGTTGTTATACCTGTGAGAATCATCTCTTCCAAAAACTAATTATTCTTGTGAAATAAATATCTGTGAAAGTCTGAATTTAAGTGCAGTAATACTTAGGTGAGTCAATAAGTAAGTTACAAATTGATGTGGGGTACTACATGTTTGAATGAGGAACTTTAGGCTATCGCCACTAGATGGCAGCATTAGTCCGGTGGCAGTTGATGACATTCGAGACAAGACAATCGATGTTTACAAAAGCAAAACAGCAGTTGCAAGATGGCAGTGCCTCTGAGTGAGTGTACAACCCTTGAGCAGCGATTTCTGTGGACAAAAGGTATGGAATGAAAGAATATTCATAAAGAAATGCTTCCTGTCTATGGTGAGAAGTGCCTGTCACATGAGGCTGTTTACAATTTGGTGCAGAAGTTCTCTGTAGGGCAGACACCTATTGAAGACGAACACCGCGTCGGCCGGCCAATGGAGATTGCCACAGAGGCGAATGTGCAACGGGTTGAAAACAATCCGAGCAGACGGAAGGGTAACTATAGACACTATAGCCAGACACTATAGTCACTGCTATTGGTTGTTCACACGGCCTGGCCTACCTCATAATGCATGACAGGTTAGATTTTCACAAAGTCTGTGCACGATGGGTGACGTGCATGCTGACCCCACAACACAAAATGCAAAGAATGAGTCTGGCATTACAGCATCTCAATCACTACCATGATGAAGGACACGATATGCTAGCCCAAATTGTCACAGGTAATGAGTGTTGGGTTCACCATTACCAGCCAAAGACAAAGTGTGCATCAGTGCAGTGGAAACATCCTGCTTCGGTTGCCAAAAAAAAGTTTAAGGTGACACCATCCTCCAGGACAGTGATACTCACAGTCCTCTGGGATCACAAAGGCATACTCACTGCATTCCAGCTTCAAGGAGAAACCGTAAATGCTGACTCCTACTGTAACATCCTCAGGAAACTTCGTAAGGCCATTCAATGGAAGCGACCAGGACTCCTTACCAAAGGTGTGTTGCTCTTGCATGACAACGCATGTCACCATACTGCCAACAAGACAAACAAAACGCTGTGAAATTTCAAGTGGGAAGTCCTTGAGCATCCTCCATATAGCCCCAATCTTGCTCCAAGCAACTTCCATTTGTTCAGCCCTCTTAAACATCATCTTTCTGCTGAACATTTTCCCGATGACGAAGCTGTAGAAAGGGAAGTCACCGCCTGGTTCCGACAGTAGCCCAAAGAATTTTATGCTGCTGGTTTTCAGGGGCTTGTGAAACAATGGGACGTGTGCCTCAGTGTACAGGGAGAATATGATGAGAAATAAAAGCATTTTTCAAATCAGTACTCTTATTTGTTTAAGTTCCATATCCATTTGTAACTTACTTACTGACTCACCCTCATACTTATGTGTAGATTAATAAATGTAAATTGAAGCACTGAATCGGTGAGATTAATGCAGGGGGTCCAAAGAAACGTACTCACTCTTTGATAGTCAATATCTTTGGAACAAAATGACATGTAGTTACAATTCTTGCATGGTAGTGTAGTGTAATGTTTTCTCAACAGATGGTGAAGGTCACATGAGTCACGTGAGTGTCGTGCAACATGCACAGTATGAGCAGTAGACAGCAGCAGCAGTGGCTGATAGGTTGTTCTTTGAGCATTGTAAGGCTGTTTTTAAGTGGTACTGGAAGAACGAAAACATTAAAGAGGTACAATGACAATGGCAGAATGAGTTTGGAACTCAGCCACCAACATGATGAACAAGGAAGTGAATCTACCAGGTGTTAATGTGTGGTGTGGTCTGTCATCATGCGGTTTGATTGGTCCTTTCTTCTTTGAAGGTACTGTAACTGGTCAGGTGTATCTCGATATGCTTCAGACAACAATTTTCCGTGCCATTCTAGAGCTGTTTGGAGATGAGAGATTTTACCTACAACAAGATGGTGCTCCACCTCACTACCATCAAGATGTCAGGGCGTACTTGGATGACACTCTACCTAGACGATGGATAGGTCGAAGAGGTGCTATTGAGTACCCACCACGGTCTCCAGACCTAACACCTCTCGACTTCTACCTTTGGGGAACCCTGAAGGATGAAGTTTATTGACAAAAGCAAGCTACACTGAACGCGCTATGAGAAACCATTGAAGCGTCGTGTGCAGCCATCACGCCAGATACACTGACAGCCGTAGTTCGCTCAGCAGTTCAGCGGCATTGAAGCTGTTTAGCTGCTGATGGTGGTCACTTCAAACACATACAATGACTCTCTCTCTCTCTGTCTACGCACAAGAATTGTAGCTGCATGTCATTTTGTTCCAAAGATATTGACTATCAAAAAGTGAGTACATTTTTTTGGACCCCTCTGTATTTTATTATGAATCATCCAGGCACTTCTTAAATTTTTATTGTGTGTTGGGTTTTAAGAAATATTTTCAAATAAAAATAATTCATGTTATCCACTATTTTTTCTTTTCTCCATGCCAGTAACCTGGATATTAGAGTGCTCTATGTATTTGGTTCATTGATTGTAGACCACAAGTTTAATACATTTTTCTTGCAGTAATGGAGTGATAGTACTTGTGATCTTACATACTTGCTTTTAATGTGTGGTTGCAGTAATATGCCAGGTGGGAATAAGTGCTCAATCATACTGCGAGTTGTCGGGACGTACTGAGCCAGTAATAGGAGATGTGATTGTAGCATTAGTGAATATGGGCCTGCCTTTGGATGGCATTGAAATGCATGCCAGAAGACCAGGACGGACAATGTTGTCTGCTCCGGTGCCATCAACTCAACCTAAACAGCTGAGCATCTTGCAGGCCGGTGTAAAGCAGCCGCATCCCCCACACATTCCAATAAATCTTCCACAGTTTCCTGACCCACATGCCTACATACGCACACCAGTGAGTGTCATAATAAAGTTATGTTTAAAATGAACCGCATCTGAAAATGTAGCTTCATGCTAGATTTAAAATCTTGTGTGTATGAAGATATTATTCTGGATATAGCACAATGGGCCACATTTCATCCATACCTGCAGTAACTGTCTGCCTAAGCATGCATTACCATGGAAACACCTCCAGTTTTGCAGTAACCTATATGCCTATTCAAGTGTTTTCATGGAAGTGCATGTATAATAATCCAGTGTTAACCTGTTGTCACAGGAACATGTTCTGTTAATACTCATTACGTAGGAAATCAAGTTCCGATCTGACTCCACTATTCTGGCTTTTAGCTGTCGTGTCACAATATCTGTTGTATATTTTATGTTTGTAACATGGTGAATACATTGTGGCCAGTCTGCGTGTGTTGTATGTAATATTGTACTTGCACCTAATGATTGATATTTGTATGTGAACTGTCACTTTCTCAAGACCTCTTCTATTTTTATATTGGCATATATATAATATAAAGGTAAAGTTGACCATGTACTTAATTAATTAAACAGCATGCTTAGATGGATAAGGACATGGAGTTATGGCTCCATGCTCTTAACCTCATCACTGGATGAAGGTGAATGGGTGGCCTCTTGCCCTGGCTTCTTTACCCGAGGAAGATTCCTCAGTACTCAGTGAATAGGAGGCTGAGTGGGACCCAGTGTCAGATCTAGCCCTCTGGAGAAGAGGAAGATATCTTGCCTGTACTGGAAATAGAACTTTTATTCCTCTGCCACCCATAGCCCACCACTATACCATCTGAGCTACCCCAGTTCCATGATGCATATATTGCCTCTGCATCTGTCAGATGCCAGAGAAAGAATGGAAATACAACAGGACAGTATATCATCTCCCTGCAGGCTATAAAAAGGCTTAAGACTTATAAGAGAAGTGTTATACATTCTTATCAAACCTGGTATGCCCAGAAGTCTAGTTAGACACCTGATACATTTTCTGTGAGGATAATGACAAAGTAAAAAAAAAAAGGTTTTTGGATATACTTTAGGATATGCAGTTAGGAAAGTGCAAGATGTAGGAAGCACTGGATTAATGGAAAATACTGGATAGCTACTGATCTGTTATTATTTTTTTTATTCCTAGTAGGGTGGTACTAAGTCCCTTGTACTGTGGCCACTTCTGGCCTATAGTACCAGCCACAGATGATAGGTGAGGGTGATTGTGGAGTAATTGGTGGAATGAAGATTGGCAGGGGAAACCGAAGTACTCGGAGAAAACCTGCCCCAGCGCCACTTTGTCCACCACAAATCCCACTTGACGAGACCCGGGATCGAACCTGGGCTGCCGCAGTGGGAAGCCAGTGACTAACCGCTTGAGCTATGGCGCGGCCAGCTACTGATCTATAAAAGGTAAAAGGTAAATCTATCCCTGTAACAGGCCTTGAAGGCCCATAGGGTTGTGAGACATTGAGGATCTCACATTCTCTTTAGACAGTCGACTCACAGAATGCAGTAAGATTATGAGCCTTATGCACTGGTCACCCTTTACCCCCTAGGAAGATTCCTCTTACCCATTTCTGTTAAAAGCTGAATCAACCTCAGGCCCATAGTGTGGCTGGAAGGATTAGGTCAAAGGAAAAGAATCTGCCTCATTGGGACTCAAACCCGTGACCTTCTGGCTTGTAGTGTAGTGCCTTAACCAACTATGCTACCATGTGCACCAGCTACTGATCTATGCTGATGATAATTGATTAGGTAAAAACGTGTGCTCAAAAGGACAGAGAACCAGTATTTTAGCTAGTGAGGCAGTTGGTCCAGAAAGAGACATGGAAGACATGTTCATATCTGGTCACCAGAATTTATAACTAAATCTTAATAAAAGGATGACAAATGTATCACTTGAAAATAAGCCAAAGCATGCAACAGAAATGAGAAATTAAGGTAATGTTCATGACAAACTGACCGCCTCTATGGTCTAGTGGCCAGAGTTCCTGCCTACAGATCCAGAGACCTCGGGTTCGATTCCCGGCGCTACCAGATTTTCTGAGAAGTAGTGAGTCTGGAGCATGGTCCACTCAGCCTCGTGAGGATAATTGAGGAGCTATTTCAAGGAAATAGTTGCTCCGGTCTAGAAAAAACTGAGATTAACAGCCGTGGGGATTCATTGCAC